TTTTCTTGATTACAGTTGTGTTCCTACTGGTCTTTGACTGAGGGTATTGACAGCATTTACATTTATTTAAAACACATTTTATTTTATTTTAAAAAAGATGGTATATATATATATATATATTATTTATGCATACAAGAACTGGGAAATAGACCACAGGGGTCTGGGGTGGTGAGAGAAATCACCAGAGAGAGTGGGGAGTAGAACAGGCAGATCTGCTGAAATACACTGCTGATGAAAGCAGCGGCCGAGACAGGAGAGGTCTGCTGTGCCATGTTGGTCACCCTCCCGGGGGGGGTGTCGAACTCAGGCCATAGTGGTTGGCGATTGCTTGATAGTGCTGAGAATTTAACCCCTGCACACTAGAGAGGCCCCTACTTAAAACATCTTTTAAATGAACTTGGTAACAAATTTAAGTACTTCAAAACGTGAAAAAATGAAAAGTATGTCTCTTCTACCCTTGATCCCGGAAACTGTGCCCCTTCCCTGGAACTGGTCACTGTGAGCCAAGACAGTCTGTGTACATTGAAGCAGTCATGTTCATTTACTCATTTAGATGCTAACTTCACCGGTCGTTAGCTACCTGACTGTCCACTGTACCAACTGTCCACTTTACTGCTTCTCCATAGCAACGCCATGACTTTTCTTGGTGAGGATGAGTCAGCACAGAGCGGGGACTACAGGGGTTGGTTTCTAGTTGGGTTTTAAGCAACTGTCAAAACTTTATTTCCAGATAAATGTATTGATTGCTTTGATTCTCCCTTTTAGAGAGATTGGATAGCAATGCTGAACGGGCTTGGACTTGGCAGCGGGGAGGGTATGGAATAAGCCTCTGGCTACCGCTTCCCATCAGAGACAGGGCCAGGTGGGCCCACACCTTTGGGCCCTGTCCTCTGCCTCCCCTGTGAGTGGCTTAGGGTTTCTTTTCTTTTTTTAAAGATTTATTTATTTATTCATACAGAATTGGGGTACAGGCCAGAGATGCCGAGGGTGAGAGAATTCACCAGGGACAGAGTGGGGAGCAGAACAGGTCAACTGATGAAGTACACTGCTGAGGGGAGCAGCGGGCGGGTCAGGAGAGGTCTGCCACGCCATGTGGATCACCTCCAGGGCAGGCCGGGAATCGAACTCATGTGGAAGTGGCTTTAGCTTCTCAGTGCTGTGCTTTAATCCGCTGCGCCACCAGGGAGGGACCTAGGGTTTATTTTCTATCCACCAGGGCCCTCAGGGGCTTTCTTCCTGTCTGGAAGGAAGAACTGCTGAATCAATGATACATTTGGAATGAATGAGGGTGTGTTTGGTGTGACTAGCTCTTCCTGCCTCTGGGAAGCCCCTTCTAGGCCCTTAGTTTCTGGAATTGTTAGTGGCAGATAATAGTTCCTTCTGAAAAAGCAGAGGGTTCTTGCCTAGGGCCTCTGGGGGCTACAGCCCCTTTCTGCCATATGTTTATCTTTCCTTTGGCAGATAAAGGAGGAAAGTTCCAGAGAAAATTTAGATGCTGACCTCACTGGTCATTAGCTATGGTTTGTCCTTCCTTCTATCTGACTGTACTGACTGTCTACTGAACTGCATCTCCATAGCAACACCATGACTTTTCTCAGTGACTTCTAAACTTGGGCCTCAGGTCAGGCTCCTGCTGGCTCCAGGTCCTGCCAAAGAGCTGGGGGTGAGGGGTGTATGCCTGAGGTGGTCCCCAATGTCCTCAGATTCAGGGCCAGCATAGGAGCTGCCACTATGCCTTTTGTCTGTGTCAGGCCAGTGCTAAGGGCTTTGCAGGAGTTATCTCTTTTAAAGACTGGAACAACTGCTGAGGGGAGCAGTGGGCGGGTCAGGTGAGGTCTGCTGTGCCATGTGGGTCAGCATCCTGGCTGGGGATCGAACTGGTGCTGAAGCGGCTGCTGCTCACTTCATAGTGCTGAGCTTTAACCTGTTGCACCACCAGAGAGAGGCCAGGAAGCTGTGTTTCCAAGGGACTGCTTCCAAGTGGGAAACTTCTCCTGATATCCCAGGAGGGGCGCATTTACAGAGAGGGTGCCCTGTTCATTTCCAAGGCTCCATGTCCTTTCTCTACAGATTCTTATTACCATGGAGACAATCTGCAGCACTGTCCAATGGAAAGCCTGAGAGACAGGCACCATGACAACCTGTGGGGGCTGCAGGGCAGCTCGAAAGCACCCCACGACCACAGCATGACAGCCCAGGGCTTTGACAGCCACAGTGCCGCTGATGGAGGGGGGTGACCTGGCTTTTCACTGCCCTCTTCTCTACAGACAGGGAGGCGGGGAGGGCTGATGGGTAGGCCTGGTCCTGGTGGCACTGAGCTTCATTCTTTTCTGACTGCACATTTTGCTTGTTCCCGACGAGGTCAGCTCATACATGTCTGGAGACACACAAAGCGTGGGCAGGGCACATCAGTCCAGTCCTGGCTGGGAGGAGGAAGCAGCACATTCCTAGGAGATGACCTACCATTAATAAGAGCTTTTCTGCAGAACCCCCACTCCCACAGCATCCCAGGGAGGTAGAGACAGAGGACTTGCTGCTACCTTGAAGTAAAAGCAAGTGCCGACCCCGTGGGTGAAGTCTGTGGTGTGTGGCGAGGAAGGGCTTGCTCATCCTCCCTGCTGGCCCCCAGAGCTTGCTGGCTTCTGCGGGAACCTACCTGACACGAGTGGGTGCAGGGACCTGAATGCTCCTGGCTGTGTGGTAGGTCTGGGTCAGGGAAATTGCCGTCTCCTTCCTTGCTTCTGGGCTCCCGCCATTCCATCAGCCTCCTGCCCGTGTATCTCCTGACTCGGGGCGAGGGCGCTTCCTCCTGTTCATTCCGTGAGTGGGTTATTCAGAGAA